GTCCCCAGATGTAATACAGATTAACATGTTTTGCACTCAGGTATAGGTTTTATGTTTTTACGTACTTCAGCAAGCCATCCATTCATTTTCTATACCCACCTGTTCAGGATTATGAGTGGCTGGTGTCTTTCTCCAGTGGTCAGTGGGTGAGAGGAAGGGTACTCATTGAACAGGATGCCAGTCCATCACAATGTCATATACTTTGTAGAAAAAGAACCACACCTGCACACATTCAAACCTAGGGCCAGTCTCAAATGCATAACTGGAATGGTGGGAAGAAACTGGAGAAACCACGGAAAACCAAAGAGACACATGGAGAACATGCAAAGTTGCTAACTCCACCTCAGAGAGGCCCCAGATGGGAGGAAACTTTTTGCTACATGGCATCAGTACCACCATTGTCCAGCTTAGTGTCATAATGAGAACAATATTTATAGTTCTGGATCAACATACCTCAACAGAGAGTTGGGGAGTTATTGATTTAAAAATGTGCATATACTGTATTTTGACTTGGTAGTACATGGAAACACAATGCTCTCGCTGCATGGCAGCAACACTGAAACAGAAAACAGGAAGTTGGAGGAAAACCATGAAACATGACACGTAAAATAACACACCAGGGAGGAAAAATAATTTTAACATAAAGGAGTTCCAGTGATTTAAGAACATGACGATCCAACATCCGAGGAAAAGATGCTCTTCAGACTGTATATAAATAGCTTTTAATCAAGCCTGTGAGTCAGATTATTCCCATAACGTGCTCCTCAGCTCACACATATGGATCAGTCCACAGACAGGATGTCCTCTGTCTCCTGCTCAACCTTCATCGCTGTTTCAAATAAATCACTCAGTTTTTATTGTTGTTGGTGTTATAATTATTTTTTCATTAATGTACATGATTGAAAGTGATGTGTGCAATTTTTGTGTGTTGTTATATGTGATTATGTTGCTCGTTTACTTTGAACATTTCAACTGGATAATAGTAAGCAATACTAATCAGCCAAAACATTATGACCACCTGTTTAAACTCCAGTAGGCTGCAGCATTGATAAAAAACAAAGAAAACAAACAAACAAAAAACTCATACCAGTAAGGATAACAACAAAAAAACATGCTGAGGATGTCTTTTGGTGTCTCCTTCTGGGATACTAATAATAATTCCTTATGATTTTGGGTTGGGTCTTTCTGGATTTGGCTTATTTTCCACTAATGCCAAGACATCTAATCAGATTTGTAGTTGGAGAGTTTGGAGGCTGAGGAAATCCCTCCTTAGCAGAAGAGACCCATTGATAGGTCTGGCTCTGTTGAAGGAAATGTACCTGTGTAGGCCCTACTTCTTGTTTCTTTGGGTCCACAATTAGCTCACAACAATTTCTGTGTCATCTCATTTACAACATCAAACTAAAAGTAGGATGCCGAGGAGCAGAATGTGTGTGGTTTCAAAGCATCAGACTATGGGTTAATGTGAGCGGGGGCAGATGAGGTGGGAACAGTAAATGCCAGTTTATTTTTTATTTATTTTATCTTCTTGTTTATTAACGGTGAGATGCTGAGTAACTAATATACTTGTGAAAAAAAAGTTAATATTTAGAGAAGCTGGTATATAGCCAGATCAATGTTAAAACCGTCACCCAAGTAAGTTACTAAACAAGCAAAGCATAAAAAGTATAAATGTTATAAGAATTAAAATAGTAAGAGTGAAAAAGCATGATTCAGGATAAAGATAAGCAGAGCTGCAGACCTGATGGAAGAATGGTTCCATCCATCCATCCATCCATCTATTATCTTTACCCGCCTCTTCCTTTTCGGGTCATAGGGATCACTGGTGCCCTTATCCAGGCACTGTGTGAGAGGTGGGAGACACCCTGGACAGGTTGCTAGTCCATCACCTGGAGGAAGGATGGTTCCATTATTGCAATTATTTATTAGCTGTAGCATATTGCCACCTGCTGTTAATTAGGGAAGTACATTAGCTTTATTTTCTTAAATGGCCTTGTTCCATTTGACACAGTAAGTCAACCGACTACAAAAGTAGAGAAATTGCATTTCCTGCAAAAATCCAGTGTGAATGCTGATTGCTGAAAGATTTTGCTGAAAGTCACTTAAAAAGCTAGAGTTTATTTGAAATATGTCAATAGCTAAAAATTTGAAAGAAGATGCTGCAACAAACTCAAAAAGCAAAAGAAATACCAAAAAATTAAGAAAAAGATTGAAATAAGTTAGCTAATGTGCAGAAAAGCAGTAATTAACAAAAACAAAAGCTAAAAGTAGGGTGAATTAAAGCACAAGTAGAAAAAAGCTAGTAAAAATAAAAACAATTGATAGGTAAGAAGTAGGGACATGTTAGCAAATAGCAATAAAAAACTAGCTTAGAACCAAAAGTAGCAAAATGCTATCAAGGAATAAAGAAAAGGCTAGCTTGAATCCACAAGTAGCTGAATGCTAACAGAAAAAGCAAGTAGTACAGGTAAAAGTTGGCAGAAGTAGCTAACTGATAGCAAAACCAGAAAAATGCTAGTTAAGAAGAAACAAATAAACACTAGCAAACAGCAGGAAAAGAGTAAGAGGTAGCAAAATGCTAGCCAAAAGCAGAAACATTATAGCTAAAAATGGTGAAACACTAGCAAATTGCAGGAAAATGCTAGGTAACAACCAGAATTAATGAAATGCTAGAAGGAAATAAAAAAAGCTAGCTTATGGCTAGAAGTAGCTAAAATGCTTGTAAAAAAAGGCATGAAAAAGATAGCTTAGAGGCAGAAGTATTGAAATTATAGCAAAAACCAAATGTTAGCTAAGAGCCAGAAGTATTGAAATGCTAACAAGAAAAAAGAAAAGGCTAGCTTAGAGCAAAAAGTAGCGAAACTATGACTGATCCAGTTTAACAGTTAAATTTACTCATCAGATCAGTAGAGAGCACTGACCCATGAGGTGTCTGTTTGTCAAGTTTGTGTGAAAAGTTCCCTTTTGTAGATCTGTTTAAAAAGGAGTGACCTTTAAACTTGACCTTTGACCCCATAAGCTTAAAATGTGAATAGGGATCTTTGTTGATCAACATGGTGTCCAGCTGTGAAGTTTGACATTTCTTTAATGGGTATCGAATTATTTCAATTTAAATTATGGGTTGACATTTGACATTGATTTATGACCTTGACATGTGACCCCGTGACCTTGAAATCAATAGAAACATTTGTTGACCAACAGGGTGTCCAGCTGAGTAGTTTTCCATTTCTATGTTTAATAGTTATCAAACTATAGTGATATAAAAAAGGAGTGACCTTTGACCCCACGACACTAAAACCAATCAGCATCATTGCTGACCCATGAGGTGTCCAGGGTGAAGTTTGACATTTCTACATTACACAGTTGCAGAGTTTGGAGCTTGGACAAAAGACAGACTGCTGCACAGCGTATCTCTTTGGTGGCCATATTGGATTTTTATTCAGCCTTCAGTATGTGAGGATCACCCTAGGCTACTACCACACCAAATTTTAGCCTAGGCTAAATTATCTAAAAATGAATGAGCTGAAGCGGAAAGAACCATAATGGATCAAGAAAACTGACATTAGTGTGGAATGGAAAAAATGAACCAGAAAACCCAAATTAGCAGAAAGAAGCCAAAAACAACTAAATTGAGCACAGAAGAAGCTGAAAAACAGAACAAAGTGCTGAAATGAGCAGACAGAGGCTTAAAGCGCACATTTACAGAACTAAACACAGAAAAAGTCAAAATGACCCTATTAAAGTTTAAATTAGCAGAAAAATCTCAAACTAGTAAAACAGCCGAACAAACTGTTAGTAAACAAAATTTTTACAAGCTTAAACTATGATTTACAAGAACGGTTCAAGATATCAACAAGCTGAATGAATTTTGTGATACAGTAAATTAATGTTCTTTATGACATTAAAAAGTAGAATGGATTTTATAGGTGGAAGTAAGCTGAAGGAGTTACAGTTCAAAAAACAGTAAGATGTTGAAGGATTTCATGGAATCTTGATTCATTAATTGCTATGAGAAAAAAGTTGCTAAAAAGGCTGAATATTTCAAAAAGTTTAAGATGTCATAGCTGGAGTGTCTTGAACAAGCTGAATGTGATACCAAAATCGCTGAAACAACTTAAACACTGCACGGAAGACACTTAATTGAAAAAAATTGAGAAAGAAAGAAAAGCAGGATCTGAACAATTATTAAACGTTTTCAATAAAAGCCACCAATTATTAATTTTCATTCAACCTTTATTAATCCCATTGAGCCTCGGGGACTCATTTACAAGAGAGACCTGATTTTAACAAAGAGTGATGCCAACAGTGGACAGCAAAGACAACAATAAAGGATGCAATGCATACACATTTATTTATTTATTTTAACAAGTGAAAATAAAATGGTAATTAAAAGGATAATTAAAAGGAAAAGTGCCAAAAAAACCCCAAAACAGCTAGGTTGTAAGGCAGTGAAAACTACTAAAAACAGGAACATGTCTGCATTACTTTTTCCCAGGTATTTCTTGTGTTTATGCGCTCAATTATGCCAAATGTGTAACATTTCCCTCAGGGTTTAAAAACATAACGGTGAACAAACAAGACTTTTACCATGAAAATTACACCGGAAATAGACGAAATTGATGGCAATTCTCCCAAAGACATGTCTCTGCAGACAAATTCGGAAGGCGTATCTGGAGGACCACATCTGATTGGACGATAAGAAAAAAGGCGTATCTGAAAGGCCACATCTGATTGGACAAAAAATAAGAAGGAAGTTGCTCGTGTTCCAAAAATGGGCGTTTTACGTTGGAAAATTAAACCGGAAACAGTAAAGTTTCACTGCGAGCATGGCGAGCATAGTTGCAAACAAGTGTTACTTTGAAAATTAAACCGGAAGTAACAATTATCAGTTAGGTCATTGGACATTTTATGTTTTTTTTTGTGCTGAAAGACAATATTGACTTTGTTGGTTAAACCGGAAGTAGTTTAAATGGATGTCTGCTAGCTTGACAGCCACGTCACCTCCTCTTCCAGGCAGCTCTCCAGACTCCGCATCGTTACTCTCTCCTACAGCTAGCCTGTCACGGACATTTGCAGACAGTTCATTTGTTTACATCGGCACATTTTAATTGAAAAAGCAGACCCAGCGAGCCGTTTTGACGGAAGCTGCGACCCTTTTTGATGTAGTTAAAAAAAACAAGTCAACAACTTTTTGTAGCTTTGCGTTTGGCTGTTTGCGTTTTGTGTGTGGGGGGAAAGTCCTTAAGGTTAATCTTTTGAAGTGTGAGGGGCCTCGAGGAGGTTTTCATTAAGTTCGTGTTGTCGAAGCGGAACTTTGACAGCATGAATATCTTTCGTCTGGCGGGTGACGTGTCCCATTTGGTGGCTATTATCATTTTGCTGCTGAAGATATGGAGGTCCAAATCGTGCGCTGGTGAGCTCCTGTCAGACTGTAGCTTTACACACATGCTCATGGTTTATTAATTCACAGGAGAGCCTTGCTGTAGTAACACCGTGCTTTATGGTGTCTGTGCATGTCAGCTACGTGGCAGTGTCAACATGGGCTGCCTGCTCCACCTACAAGGCTTAATTAATGTCTGAGCACTCCTAAACCATGTTATTGTATAACCACGTGTGATTTATCCCTCTGACTGTTCTGCTGTTAAGAAAATGTCTAATAGTGCTTTGATTATTACTATAACAGGTGTCTGCATATGTCAGGTCGTTATAAATTAATAATGTTCTCTCATTTTTAGGCATCTCTGGGAAGTCTCAGGTGCTGTTCGCACTTGTCTTCACCACCAGGTATCTGGACCTGTTCACCGTCTACATTTCTGCGTACAACACAGTCATGAAGGTGGGTCTGGACACCTTAAACGACACGGTTGTGACTTTTATGCATTTTACACTGAGTGTTAAACTGTGACGAGTAAACGGTGACTGCTCAGGTCTTTCAGAAGGGATTAGGTGGGAATGTGCCTAAATTATTACTTTTAAAGGGTTAAATTATGACTGAATTGGCTTAAGCTAGTGTGAGAGAAGCTATGAGCGAAGAGGATTCTCTCTGTAATAAAAACAAAACCACAGATATGATAAACGTTATAGCAATTAACGCTTAAAGTTGTGACTGTTGGAAACTAGCTGGTGTCTCAGAATAGTAAGAGAACGCGGGCAACATTTTCGTTGCCGTCTCGCTGAATGTGGAGCGTTTGCAATCGGTTAGTGGTGACGCCGTGTTTTGATCAGCCCGTTTTCGAAACTCGCAGCATATTGTTGCATGCACGACTTGCAGAGCTGCACTCTAGATCAGGGCTGTTCAACTAAACTTATTAGAGGGGTATACGGTTACTGAACGCTAAGAGCTCAGGGGCCAGACATCCAGCGATTACTGTCACTAAGTAAGCTTGTTTTATGATTTAATATCTGGTTTTAATAAAAAAATTAACCCTTTGGTGGGCCGAACTGAGCTCTGATTTGGCCCCTGGGCCACCAGTTGAGTAACCCTGCTTTAGGCAGTGCACATCATTTGACTGGCCACCTCCTCCCACATGGTTGACTATCAGACACCCCTAAGTTTGATTCAGTCTACTAGTGTACACCTTTAAAAAGACTATTTAAACCAGTTTTTTTTTTTTTAAATAACTTTGTCATTCGTGTGTTATCTTTTTGTTTTGTTTTACATCTGATCTTTATCTCTCATGCTTTCTGTTGGAGGAGAACTCCAATGCAGGCGTCCAGAGCTGTTGGGATGGGTTTGAGACGCCCGCAGCAAATATTTTAAAATAAACTTTAGGGCAAAAATTTTTTCTAACATGTTCAAAACAAGCGACTATAGCTTGCACAACTCACTGACTTAGAGCCCAAATCAACCGTTCAAAATGTTTTAAGGGTTTTATTGTAAACGCTGTTCACCAGCTGCTTGTAAACAGTCTCAACCCAGTGAGATTTAGCTATAAATCACCATTTATTTTGTATGTTTTTGCACGTAATGTGAAACTGACAAGCTTTAAAAACAGCATTCATTAGTATGAAACGTTTGAATTTAGTCGTTTTAAGACGGCAGCAACAAACTTTGGTCTTTGCCTTGCTCTGACTAGTCGTTAACTCGTCAGTCCGTGTCATTCAAGGTGCTATCTGCAACAGGTAAGATATTAACTGTTCATAACCTTTTCGCTGAAGCTTATTTCAAACGCTGTACAGCTGATTGCTGCCCAGGCCACCAGCCTGTAACCGTTCTCACACCTCGGCCTGCCCAGGTTCGTACAGTAGAAACATGCAAAGCAGGCAGCCACCGGTTCGACATGCAAAACGGCGCGCGGTGACTTTGACGTCTTATCTTAGCCGGTGTTTCTCTGTTCTCAGGTGGTGTTTTTGGCTCTGTCGTACGCCACCGTGTACCTGATCTACATGCGCTTCAGGAACACGTACAATTCAGAGAACGACACGTTCCGTGTGGAGTTCTTGCTGGTGCCGGTCATCGGGCTGTCCTTCCTGGAGAATTATTCTTTCACCCCACTGGAGGTAAATAATAAAAAAAAAAAAACAATGAGGAACAAAAGCAGGACTAAAAATAAAAGTTCCCTTTAGCTGAACAGTTGAAATGGTTTCTTTGCAGCTGAACTGGTTTAACGTTTGATGCATTTTATTTTATTTTTTACCCAGGTCTTGTGGACCTTCTCCATTTTCCTGGAGTCCGTTGCCATCTTGCCGCAGCTCTTCATGATCACCAAGACGGGCGAGGCGGAGTCCATCACCACCCACTACCTGTTCTTCCTCGGCCTCTACAGAGCTCTCTACATCGCCAACTGGCTGTGGCGCTACCACACCGAGGGCTTCTTTGACCAGATTGCCGTGGTGTCGGGAGTCGTACAGACCATTTTCTACTGTGACTTCTTCTACCTTTACGTGACAAAAGGTGAACCACTCTGTGCAAACTCTTACAGTAGGAGAGACTTCATTTGTAAAGCTATATTTTAATATTTACACGATCCAACAGTTATATATGTTGTATTACTAATTTATTACAATTCAGCTCATTTTTACTAAAGTACCTGATGACGTAAGAGCCAAAACTGGCGTTTGGTTTCTTATAAAGGAGGTGAAGATTTTTTTTCTATTTGAAGACGGATCAAATTAAAAGTTCAAGCAATTTAAAGAAGGAAACGAGAGTTTTAATGGCAGACAAACAAGTGAAGTTAAAAACGAGTTTCCTTTCTCTGTTTGCTCTGACTGTTTGTCGTCTGACTGTTTGTCGTCTGACTGTTTGTCGTCTGACTGTTTGTCGTCTGACTGTTTGTCGTCTGACTGTTTGTCGTCTGGGTGTTTGCAGTGCTTCGTGGGAGAGGGAAGATGAGTCTGCCGATGCCGGTTTAACCACCTGTTTGTGCCAGCCGCAGTTCCACATCAGACTGTACCTCTGCCTGTACTCCAACAGTGGGACTAACAGTCTTGCATCATCTGTAGACCAAAATAGAATCCGTTTTCTGTTTAACTGGTCCTTTAATGCGTGTGTGATTTCTAACTCTGTAAACGGAGTGATGTGTTTGAGTGTGTGGGTCTATTTTCTGTCCATGAGGGGTAAATGTGACAGCAGAATGATGTGTGGAGTTTAGCTCGTAGCAGCACAGAAAATGTTTTATGTTTTCTTTTTTGTTTGTTTTATTGTATTGTTTTTTTTCCCCAGAGATGCGCAGAGAGACATCCGTTTAAATTTAATATTTGAATTTCAAAGCCACCAAATGATTGTTTCACTGTTTTCAGCACTCACGACTGTAGCTTTGACACCACCTTGTTTATCCTGTTCAGTTTGTGCAAACCTGATCAGTCTTCTTTATTATGGGCTCAACGTATAAATCCTTTGTGTGTGTAGTGGTAGTCACACTCCTGGTAGATCTACATCATTAGTTTCTTTTGTTGCCATGTGTGTTACTTTATGGATTTCTTCTTTGTCTTTTTGTATTTCAGTGTTTTGTTTATCTAGGACAAGAAGGGCTGAGTATATTTTCATGTTCTAAAGAAGCCAAAGAAGCAGCAGGTAGCTGCTGCAGTGTTATAATTAAATAATTCTTGTTATGAACTTAATCTTTCTGTCTGATTTGGTCAGGGCAATGAAACGACGGTTCGATTTCTAAAACCCACTTCAATCAGAGAAAAGAGTCTGACCTATTTTTATTCTAAGGATGCAATAAGATCGTAATAAAAAAAAAAGTTTGATCTTTTATCGGTTTCTAAAATGATTGTAGTTTGACCTCAAGGGTCCAAAAACACGATGCACGTCTTTTTTTTTTTTTAATTAAGCCGAAACGAAAAGCTGTGTAGGTGTCACAGGGTTCATCTCCAAATGTTTCCTGAATCTGAATAAAAGTCCAAATAAATCCACCATCACATCCAGAAATTTCACATCGTTCCAGTATTTGTCTTTTCAATGTGGAATATGCTTTTTGACCAAGCTAGCTTTAAAAAAATTCTCTCTCTGCCTCCGTGTCTGTCAGCAACTCTTAATCGATATATTTCCTCTCACTAGGCACAACGTATCTTCACTCTTTGCAAGAAACTAGAACTACATTTACTTCAAGTAAAGCACACTCTGTTTAAACAATTTAAATACAATTTAACAGTTCATTATGCCTCAGACTCATTAAATAAATACACAAAATTAACAAAGTGGCATGATCATGATCCTTTTAACAAAATAAAAGCATCACACCTGCTTTTGCCATTTAATGAGGGAAGCAGCCGTTACAGCCAGAGACATCATATAAACACTAGATCCCTCATCTTGGAACGGTCGACCTTATTTGGTTACAGCAGAAGATGTTTCAGCACTTCGCAGCTTATTTCTGTTCTAATCGACGGACTGTTGATGTCAGGTCTCGTGGGATAACTTCACAAGTAAGATGAACATATTATTGTTAGTATTTTGTGAATATAATATTACTGTACTGTATTTATGTCCACCAGCTGATGTGATGTTCAGTGTAACACGGTGTTCAGCTGCAATGAAGCTGACTGAGATCTGATGACAGGAATATTTTTCTAACAAGCATACTCACTATTTCAGTAGCTTTGGTTCATTATCAACTGATATGTATCATAATTGGAGTTTTGTTTAAGTTCTAGGA